TAATCAAAAAATCTTTCAAAAAATTTTCGGCGAACTAAGAAAAAGAAAAAAAAGATGTACTGTATCCCCTAAGATTTGCTGAATCGGATCGTTACTTAGACTTCTTCAGAGGGTGATGGAGCGCAGATCCTGCGAATTTTCCAAGACTTAATTGACTGTGCTGCAACGATTTCATAATCGTTGTAAAGCGAATGAAATGCTACACCTAATGCTACCAAAACTTAGAGGTCTTTATTTCACAAAATCTGGCATCTATTTGAAAAAAGTGACATCACTTTGAACGACGTAATATCTCACCGAAAGCTTAGGCTGTAAAGTGTTTGATCGTGCTTTCATATAGAAATACTTTCAAAGAAATCCACCAAGATACGAAGAAGTTACGATTTTTTGAGAATGCGGAGCAAGAACTTTTGAAACAATCTAATAGTTACGCGGTATTCCGACAAAACTTAGTACTCCGAACGGCAAAGAATGACGTTGGTGGTCCTATAACCTGAGGTTTTCCTAGCGGAAGATAGTTATGTGCTGGGTGGTTCGACAAAAGTCGCACGGCATTTGCAGAAGACCGCTCAGTTCAGACTTATTGGGGAGGGTGAGTGCGTTGCAGCTGTGCTCTGCGGCGTTGGAGAAGCAACATTTGCGCGTTCATCGAAATTGAAACTAGTATTTCCCAAAATTCTCGCAAGTAGACCGCGAAATCAGAGAAACCAGCAAACTTTCGCGTTCTTCGCTTTTCAAAAAGCGAACGACCAACTTTGGCGTTCATCCAACTTAATGCTCTTCAAGATAGGCGGTCGCGAGCACGGGCTTTTTGTGAGTAGATTTTAGGGCATTTTCTTGAAATCATCAGAGTGCCCTTCTTGAGCATCCTAAGCTGTGCAGACAGGCGATAAATGTACAGGACTTATCAACTGAAGTGTCGAGTGCTTCAACACTTCCATTCCCACGCTGAACTCTGCGACTTCTGCGGACATGCTTTCTGATCACTTTAAAGCGAGCGTGGGAAAGGCGCCTCATTCGATTGGAAGTGATCACAGAGCATGTTTGCGGAAAAGACGCAGTGTACAGCGCGGAAGTGGAGAAGCTGGTGCACCGGACACTTTGATTGTTATGCCCTTTAGACTTTCTTAGAACAATTGCCAAATGTTTTTGAGAGCGTGAGTACTACCGATAAGCGCTCTTTATTCGATCAGTTAAGGCCAACTTCAAAAACAGCGTTATGTTCCGCCGAGTCTTCAATGATTGGATGATTGAAGGACTACGGAATTTTAAAATAAAAATTTTCTTTCTTTTTTTGAAAGCAACCGTTTTGCAAATCTGCAAGCATGCGGCAGCTGCGCTAGCTGGAATGCTGGAGATTGTTACAAAGGCAGCACTTGCATTCTGAGTGTTCATCTACCAGATCAGCGTTTCTCTGAATATCAGCAAGCGCGAAAGATTAGCGATAGGGCTTTACTACTATTCGCTTATCTGCAGATCGCTTGATGCTCACAGTGATTGTCTGAGAAATGGGGCGGAAATTCATTGGCGGTTTACAAGATTTATCGTGCCATCGCGTTGCTATATTTATGTAGAACAGCGCTTACTCCTGACTGAAAGTTAAATACAAAATAAGAAATAAGACTCTTTCACCCAAGCAGTTGGTTCAACTAATGATTTTGCGATAGATAATGACATTTAACATTATTCTATACAAACAAACAGGAAAATAACTATTTGATTACAAAGATCTTACAGCTCAGTAGTTACAACGTCTATCGGAGAAAAGCGGGAAACAAGACCGTTATCGTTACTGCAGTTTTCAAAACCAAACGCTGAAGAACGCGAAAACTCATGCACGAGGTATGTGCTTTTGAACGCTGCAGTGCCCCATTTTATTCATCTAAAACATTTTCCAGAGAATCACAGCTGGGTTCTGAAGATCCCTGCGCTTTGGCAAATTTGAGTGGTAGAGAACACGACGCAAATAGCAAAAAAATTACCTGTGCATAGCGATTTTTCATTCTTGGCTCATTTGCTATATTTAAATTGGTATGGTTTCCCCACGATCGTGTACTGTGCCGAAATAATGGAAAACGATTTCAACAAAAATGTGGTGAAAACTTCTGTTGTCGTGTGATAAAGAGGATTGTTACGCGGAAACGTGATGGTATCGTTGATTGTTGTGATAATAAAGAATGACAATCACTGGGTGAACTCAGCGGTGCAAAAATGCGCAATGAGCGTTTTTATATCTGTAGGTTAACAATATGAGATGCTCGGCATGTTGTTTACATCGCTTTGGAATCTTCGGACGGTAGAGAACATCCCAATTAATTTTTCTATTACCCAAAAAATTGGATTTCCGCCCAAACCCAAGAACTTCCCACTAGTACATTCATATAGTAGATACATAGTCTCAAGAATAAATCTGTTTTGGGGAAATGACTCATTTAAATGGAGTGGTGCACATGACTTTTAACTCACAAACACATAAAATAATCAAAATCTCCTAAAAACGAAGGTTTGTAAAAAGAATATTTTGCAAAGGTTGCCCGCCGTTACGCCTCCTTTTTATGAAATTTCGAGATGAGGTCCGAGAGCAGAGCTTACCGAGAAGGAGCATGGGCCAATCAGAAAAGAAAACTACTTATAATCTTGCGTGTTGGTGCAACATCTTTTGTAGCTAGCAACTTCCGAATAATATCATTTGAATTTGTTGGTTAGTATCTTCAAAAAATGTATTGTCTACCTTGAAAAACTTGACATCAATACGCTTGGCTGATCATGATGCATTACTGTTTCTAAAACCCCCGCCATCGGTCATAGGATGCAATTAAAGTTCATCAATTCAGCAATAAAGTGGTATCTATATGAGATTTGTAAATCAAAAGAAAAGCTCCCTTCACGAGTTGAGATGCACAGGCAAGAGCTAGAAATCATCAACTATACCCAGAATTTTATAACCATGATCAAAAAAACTTTTTTTTGCACAAATTTGATGCACTAACTTCTTGAGCCATCTTCAACACAGAGGTAGTCAGATTATCGAGAATCTTTCGAGGAACGACTCCGTTGCATACCTTGATACATCAATACGCTTGGCTGATCGTAATACTTTAAGATCGTTTGCTGGCTAACGCGGGGGCATGGGTTCCATCTCTGTGGATATAACTCATCATTGACATTTGTAATATCCAGCAGTCTTCTTGCAAGCTAAGTCGTTTTTCTTTAGTTTTATGAAGTCTGGGCCTGAAGCATATGATGTTCTGTTGTTATTCGTGCTTTGTGTAAAACTAACAATTACACTGTTTGTTCTGTTTTTTTATGGTACGCCTTGAGCGTATTTAATGAAAATGAAATGAAATTGATCGATTCTGGCGCAGTTCTGATGACATTTGCAGTTTCAGCGCAATCTTCATTTGCATCGTTTTGGATGCACAAATTATTTTTGAGTCTGGCTCATTATAGTAAGTCAATTCACAAAATGGATGTAAACGAAATACCATGTTTACAATATAAGCTAGACTATGTTTACCTTACTATGACACTTTTTTGTTCTTTGCTAAATTTACAATGCTAAAATTAGAGCCGACTGTTTAGATATCGAAAACTAATAAAATTCCAGCACTAGACATTAATG